GCTCCCCAGATGCAAACGAGAAGAGCAGAGATAATAACTGCATGCTGTTTTATTTTACCAGGAATGAGCTTTACCCTGAGCACCTATTATTTTTTTCCTCTCATTAGGAAGAAATAAATTAGAAGGCAGTGAGAAATACATCTTTAGGAAATGTTCACAGACTCGGTCTGATAATTACTTTTCCCACATGAGGGATATTGAAAGACTTCCACTGTGCAGTGTTCTCTCTCAACAGTCGCACAAGGTCAGAACTACAGTGAAATAAGACAACTTCTTCATGGTAGGCCTCATCTCTCTTATCTCTGTGCCTTCACAATTTGTTGACTGCTCTCTCTGACCACCTGCCTCTCGATCTCCCCTGTCTGATTCTTCTCTGTTCCTGAGTTAGAATTTTTCTAGGGGAGATTTGCTGCAATGAGCTGTGTGATGGGTCTTACTGTTGACATACGGCAGCCTGGAGACCCAGAGAGTACCCACCTGGATTCAGGAGGGCTGTAAGTCCCCACAGGAGGCACGTTGATATGCCGTGCCCATGCAGTAATTGAACACACAGTCAGGCTAGAGTTAACATGCCATCACGGCCATCCGAAATAATCATTTTTGAAAGCTGGTGACCAAAGTTTTTGATTGCCTAAGGTCATGCCATCAAATGTCATGTCAGCACACACCAATGAATCATTAGCAAATGAAATTAGGTCATTTGGACACCAGCTCCTGGATTTTAAAGCCACTTTCACTTGGCATAAGCTAAGATTGGCTTGCTCTGCTGCTGTATGCATAGGGTGCACAGCAAGCTCACTACCCTGGATTTCAGGAGAGCAGACTTTGGCCTCTTCAGGGATCTTCTCAGTAGAGTACAATGGGATGAAGCTCTGGCGGGAAGAGGGGTCCAAGAAAGCTGGTTAATATTCAAGGATCACCTCCTCCAAGCTCAGGAGCGGTGCATCCCAACAAAGAGAAAGTCAGGTAGGAACACCAGGAGGCCTGCATGGATGAATAAGGAGCTCCTGGACCAACTCGGGCACAAAATGAAGGCCTATAGGGGGTGGAAGCAAGGACGGGTAGCCTGGGAAGAATACAAAGCGATTGTCCAAGCATCCAGAGATCAGGTTAGGAAAGCTAAAGCCCTGATAGAGTTAAATCTGGCCAGGGACATCAAGGGCAACAAGAAAAACTTCTATAGATATGTCAGTGATAAAAAGAAATCTAGGGAAAATGTAGGCCCTCTCCGGAAGGAAATGGGGGACCTGGCTACCCAGGATATGGAGAAGGCTGAGGTTCTCAGTGACTTCTTTGCCTCAGTCTTCACTGGCAAGAGCTCCAGTGGCACAGCCCAAGTCACAGAAGGCAAAGGCAGGGACTGTGAGAATGAAGAACCGCCCACTGTAGGAGAAGATCAGGTCCGAAACCATCTAAAGAACCTGAAGGTCTAAGAACCATGGGACCTGAGGAGGTGCATCCGCGGGTCCTGAGGGAACTGGCAGATGAAGTTTCTAAGCCACTATCCATCATATTTCAGAAGTCGTGGCAGTCTGGTGAAGTTCCCACTGACTGCAAAAGGGGAAACATAGCCCCCATCTTTAAAAAGGCGAAAAAAGAAGACCCAGGGAACTACAGC